CTGCAGCTTCAGTGATGTACACCATCAAGCGGGCATTCACGGTTTTTGATGAAGACTGTTTCTCGAAAATCTTCGGTACCTTATAAGGCCACATCTTGAATACGCGATTCCAGCCTGGAGACCGTGGATGCGGCAGCCACATCTTGAATGCGTGATTCGGGCCTGGAGACCCTGGATGCGGAGGGATTATAACGTACTTGAGAGGGTGCAGAGGCGGGCAAGAAAATTAGTAAGAGGCCAAGGTTCATTACCACATGAGATCCGCCTAACTAACCTTAATCTCTATCCTCTGAGTTATAGGCAGTTGCGCGGAGATTTGATAAAAACCTTCCGTATTGTGCGTGGCTTGGACTGTGCTCTCATATGTGACGACTTTTTCCAACTCGCCACTGTAATTAATCTCCGGGGACATCCCTTCAAACTTTATGTGCCTCAAGGACGATTGGATGTGAGGAAGTATTTTTTCTCTAATCGGGTCTTGGACCCGTGGAATAACTTTCCCGAGGCGATTGTTATGTCCCAATCTGTGGATATGGAATAACCTTCCCGAGGCGATTGTTATGTCCCAATCTGTGGAGACATTCAAAACACCGACTTGATATAACACATGCTACAACATCCGTGAACTATGTGACAAATTAACCTTGAAACACCACTGCACCATGTGACGGAGTGAACTATGGGAAAAATTAGCCTCGAAACACCACTGCACCATGTGACGGTCTATATTCTCCTGACTGAAAACTTTTCAACATTGTTTATAATTCTTCAGATTTTAATGTGACAAATAGGGAGTTTAAAAGCGCAAGCCTATTTTTTCCTCAAGTATACTGACCGACCGATAGAAGGGGACGAAACACCGCTGCAAAAATCACTCTATAGAGGATAGAAGTAGACATGTACGGAAAGCAATTTAATATAAATGGAACAACTTAAAATACCAGGAGGACCCTCTTCAAAGTTAAAAAGTTGTGTGTTTGGGAAGGAGACGGATAACAAGGTCTTTATAGCTTCTGAAGTTAAATGTTTACGTTATTTAGCTTGGAAAACTGGTAAGTTAGACAACAGCCTAATTTCGAGAGGAATATTATTCCAGAGGAATGCATATTTGGAGACAAAAAAAGAGAATAGTTAAATGTGGAGCTAAAGGGTGGTGAAATTATCATTGAGGAATTACGAGTGGCATAAGGCCTATCTGCCGGAGTAAGAGCGTTGATCTGTGGGAGTTTAGGGCTAGATTTAACGCGAAATAGGAAGCAGAGGCCCGCTTTGAGTCTTCTAACCCAAAGAAATGCCATGTTCGGTAACTGACATCTCTCCGTATGAGAAATAGTAGATCGAGGAAGAGCAACTATTTTTCGAGTAAAAAGTCTCTGAAAATTTTCAACCTTACCGCGGTCAGAGCCATTCCTTAGACCAAAGAGGGCACAGCAGTATTCTAGGATGGGTAGAACAAACATGCGGTATATTTTCAACTTTATTTATAGAAGGGAGAAATTGTGTGATATAAAACCACATATCTGTGCGGCCTTTACAGAAATTCGATCCACATTATAATGCTAGTTTATTTGTATAACTTAGACCTAAGTCCTTTATGATGGATCGTTCTAATAGTGGATTATTTTGAAAAACTAGGGGACCAGGAAGCTTGGCGGGACCAAAACACATGAAACTACACTTGGATGTCAAAAATTCCATCTGCCAAGTAGCATTCCAACATGAGAGTGCAAACAGGTCTGCGTTTATTTTATCAACTCAAATATTGGCCATGTCCTAATAAAGGGAGCATATGCACTAAAGGCCGTCTGCGTAAATAAGCTTGTGGGAATTCTTCAGGACTAATGAAATTTCATTTATGTATAGAAGAATGAGTAGAGAACCCAAGAACGTGCCTTGAAAAACGCCACTCGTGATGAGCCGAGCCATCGAGTAGCTGTTACCTACTAAGACCCTATGGCTGCGCTTAGAAAAGTAGGAACCAATGAAGTCGAGGAGAGAGGGAAGGTTGCCGATGGCTTCCAGTTTTACCAGAATACGTCTGTATGTTACCTTGTCGAAGACTTTGCTCAGGTCAAAGTAGATCACAACCACTGATTGCCGCTCGTTACGAAGGGAAGTGACGAGGTTAAGAAACGCTAAGTGACACGTTTGGCATGATCGTCCAGGTAAAAAAAAACATGCTGCGAGTAACTTAAAAGTTTTTTTTCTGGACAAAAATCGAGAACTTGATTAAAAATTATTTTTTTTCCAGAAGTTTGGCTAGAGGCGGGGTTTTACGAACGCCTCTGTAATTAATTACTTCCCAACGAGATCTCGACTTGAAGAAAGGTAGAATAATAGATGTCCTCCATAAGTCAGGAAGGACTCCGTTTGAAAGGATGAATGAGGATATATGGCTAAGTTATCGGAGAAAGCTCGATACTCTTTTGATATCTGAGTTTAAAATACCGTCAGTTTCCGAAGAGTGCTAATTTTTTAGGCGAATTATATGCAAACGAATTAATTTAATGGTACTGAGGATATTGTCTGAATATGTTTGAAATGACAGAACTGGTTCAGACTTGGCCAAAAGTTCTTTTTGCAAAGAATGCACTTAACGATTCAGCCTTGCCCGTGTCTTCGAGAACGAAGTTTTTATCTTCATTTAGTAGCGGGGAAATTTCGTGACCTCGTTTACAGGAGGACCGACGACAGAACAGTTGAGCAACATATTTTGCAGCGTTTGCCTCGCTAAGTACGTATGATTCCCTCTGTCACGTCCTACACGAACCTTAGAAGCCAATTCGAAGAAGATGGCCAACAACCATATCATCAGCATTTTTAACAAACAAACATTCGTTTGGCGATCGTAGATCGTCAGTGTGGAGAAGATAATATAGACCCTTGGAGAACTCAACATTTTCTGGGACGGACCGCGGATTTTTGCTGGCCGCACTGAACAAATTGAGTGCGGGAAGTGAAATAGTCCCCAAGCCAAGAGAGAGCCCAGCCGGGAGAGCCGCATGCAGAAGTTTTATTAAGAAGATTGCACGGGATCGTATTAAAGGCTGAGAAGTAGTTGAGGAAAGCACATACATATGCACGGCAGTCCCTATCTAAGTCTTTTATAGCAGACTGGACTACCGGAACAACAGCGTCTAGTGTACTACATCTTGCTTTATGCGCAAATTGTAGGGGATTGGAAAAATTGGAGGAAATCGGATTAATTTTGTCCAAGGTAACTCGTTCTGCAACTTTCAGTAGTGCAGAAGAGCAGGCAATTGGACGAAAGGATTTAGCACCAGAAGAAGAGCACTTCTTCGGGAAGAGAGTGGATCTCATTAATCGCCAATCGTCGGGACTCTTAGACTCCACGAAGGATAAGTTGATAAAGTGTGTCAATTCAGGAGCTAAATAAAAATATAAGGATTTTAGGAGAAACGGTGAGACCCCATCTAACCCGGCAGCTGTTGAACCTCGAACCTCTAAGGGTGGTTCATCACCGCTGCCACAGATACAGGAGCTGAGGCACTTGGTAATAATAAAGTAGCGTTTGTCGGATAGGAGTCGGTGGGAGATTCGATGAAATTTGCACTTAAACGGTATAACGTTAAGTCAGCATCGACATATGCTAGTATATTGTGTTGACCAGTGAGACGCTTGAGACTCTTCCCAATTTCATCCGAGGAGAGAGGAGACGAAAATGAAGCAAACGCAAAAAGCTGACTAACAAACGGTCGTTCAGCCTGGAAATCAAACGTCTTATTAGAACGTGTAAATCCTTTAGTCTTTCACGTAGACCTAGTTAGTAGAACAGTTTTGATTGCAACGAACGAAAATTCTCCTTCTTTATTTGTACACACACCTGTAAAGCGAATATTTCCCTCAATTTGGTCGCAATACCGCTCATCGTGCGGTATAAATCCACAATATTTCAGACACGTCAGGAGTTTGACTGAACTTTTTCGGCCAACTGCAAAAACCACATTCTGTAAAATGACTGCGTAAATAGTACGCACTTTCATATTGCTTTTCAGTCAGAATTATTCAGTATATTTGGAGTAAATGACAGAAGCCCTTAAAAAATCCATTGAATGCATAAAATGATGCTGATTTAATATCCAAACAACGAGAGTTATCGAGATTGAGGTGACCCTGTTAGGCGCCAATCAGCCACCTGACTGGGTGATACAATGTGTAAACTTTCTTTGAAATTTGGATATTGCTTTTCTCACAAGTTTAACCACGACAGACGGCGGGATAAGAAGCGTTTCATCCGTCAGCTCCAGCTCCGGCTTGGATTTGCGCCAGGGCACGTAGACGTGATCCTTCCAACGCGCAATTGCCTCGAAGTCAAAGTTTTTGCCTTCTGAGGCCATTGGAAAGAGTTCAACCACGGCCGATTGATGTGGCATGTACAAGGCATGTGTCATGCCGGCGCCATGCGCACCCAACAGAATGTCTGCATTGCCCGTGAACTTCAACTGTTCCTGCATGCTCAGCAGGTCTAGCTGGACGCCGTGTACTGAGTCCAACAGTGCAACCACTTCACCGTCTGGTAGCGTTACGGTGGCCTTTTCAAGGTGATAGAGCAGCTCCTGTTCATTGGCAAATTTACGGCCCACTGTACGCTGCCGCGGATGCGAAACGTAGTTGCGTCGCAGAATGACAACTAGTCGCGGCCGGCAGCGACTGTGAGATGGGTTCTCGCCGGTGGCCAGGGGCACCACCGGTAGCACTTCTACGCCGTGCGACCGCACGAAGTGGTCGCGAAATTCCTCAATTAGATGGATATTGGGATCCTTTAGGCGTGTCATGGGGCTATGGTAGCCGGGCGGACTCCAGACGGCACGGTCTGCGAGGATTAGGCGAGCTCGCAGTTTCCTAGGATTACCGTCAGGGTCAGGAATCGTGGCCAGCATTGTGGGCTTCTGTTTGAAGGCACTGGATCGGTACTCTCCAATGCGTGAGTATCCGCCAAAGAGGGCTGTCCAAACGTTGTCTAAGATGGCTGCCGGATGAGCGTCAATGAGAATGACGTGTACATCCTGCGGACGGAGGCCAAGGCGCCGAACGCCAAGGTAGGTGTTATACCACTCAGTTGTGCAGTGGTGGAGATTAACGTATTCGAAACGCTTTACTAGGAACACTGCTTTGGCATTCTAAAAGGGATCAAAAAGAAGTGAAAAAATAAATTCAGCGAATATTAACCAAAATGGCGCAGAATATGAGAAAAGGAACATCACTTGATAGACTTTTGAATTTGAGCTGTCATTTTTTTGCTCTCCATTCAGGTGGAATTTTTTATCGTATACTACTCTGCATTTTCCTCTTTGATTTTCTGATCGTTATTCTCCGCTTTGTTTTTCTGAACTGAGATGATCTATACAGTAAACTAGCAATTTGTTGATAGAACCTAAAATACAACCATATCTGATGACATTCCACAACGCCAGATCAGGTCAGGTTTATTAAGGGAAGTATAGTTAAATACTTTTGAACTCTCTCTTGGTACAGAACAACTATAAAGTGCAGAACATGTGGCGTTGCCAGTAATGGAACTGCGTAAAAGGGCAGACATTAAAAAAACTCCTTAGGCATTGTTCAGTATTCTAGGGGGTTTGAATGCCATTTGCGAAAATTTAAGGAGAAAAACTGCAGAAATATACTCCAACTATTCCCTTCATTAAACAGTGCTTAGTTCAGGTAAAGATGCTACTGCTTGCGTGAGAGTTCGCGTAGCTCTAACAACGACCAAGTGCAGCTTTCTGTTTTCCGCCAGGGCACATTTGTGAAGAGAACCAAATGCAACATTTCATTGACTAGAATCGACAGTTCGACCGTCGCTTTCGACGATGTCCAGCGCGAGCGTCAGCATGCTGAAGGCAGACGCGGTGACTTTGGATGGATTATAATGAAAGTAGACTCTCCGGATCTACCCCAGTCTCTCATCATGCCCACATCTGTACCTAATGTGAAGGAGAGAGTCGAGAAGATCGGAGATGGAGGAGGGCGCAGTAGGCTCGCGAGGCTAATACTTTAATATGTGTACCAACAGTCCACCTTGTTAGGTAGGCCCCAGCGTGCGTGGGTGTAGCATAGAGGCCAACTTAAGAAGGAGCTACTGCAGCCTGACTCTCAGCCCGCCATTCAGCCACTCCGCACAACAAGGCTCTTACTGGGCTGACTGTGGTGTCCAAGTAATCCCGTCAGTTGACAACCCTCCAAGCCGTGGTTTTTGAGCGCACCGTGATAGCTTCGAAGAGGAAAGAAATACGCTGACGATCCACTTAACTATCTACCCACACCGCCAGAAAAAAGGCACCACCTAACTGATCGGCAGGCAGACTAGAATCGGCTTGTCGACGTTGATAGGACCATCGTCTGTCACGGCTTGTAGTACAGGTTATGCCACGTGAGTTGGTCTCGGTTAGGTCAG